AATATACACGTGTTCCTGAATCAAGTACAACAGGTTTACAACACGTATCGATATAATTCATACCAAGACATTTCCGTTCTATTGATTCTTTCTACATTCTACTATTAAATGCAGTGAGTAACTCTCAAGGAATGCATTTTAGCAAACAGTAATTACGCTGTGCGTTAAAATAGTAATTAATATATTATAAAATATTGGTCTGTTAAATGATGCTTAAATGAAATTAAAGGTTTTAATTCAATTGTTGTTAGTTTGCTGATTTTGGTTTGTCGTAGTCCAGGAAAGTACTTTGGGAGTACTTCGTATCCCAATGTACACCGCGTCATCTATATTTAATTTAAAAAACGTAAAACTAAACGTAAAACTAAAAGCGATGGAAAGCGAGATAATAACATTAAACTTCAAAACATACAATAGACCCAATAGAATTACATTAGAATTAATTACAAATATTTCACATTGTATCTTACCTTTCACATTTAACCATTATGGAATCTTACCTTTTAAATTCAAAGATAAGAGTTCCCTTTTGTTTTATGTTTCTTAAATCATATTTCTATACAAAAAGATGTTTGAAAGAGTTTTGGAATCGATTCATAGAGCTTTGGTGATTATTCATTCCCTTTTTTTATTTACACAATTGTGTTTTGACACCGCAAACCTTAGCGTTAATAAATACCACGTGAACCTCATTTCGGTATTAATCTTTATTAGTTTTCGTATGAATTTGTTGCTCGTTGATCTTGTTTAAATAAAACGTGTTTAATGGTGGCATCGTGCATGTCAAATATATTGCAAAGAAATTCGAGAATTCGGGAGGAATATGGTCGCCCTTCCTACTACACTTGATTTGAAGTATCGTATCGTGATCCGTCGACGTTTGACAACTTGCCCGGCCACACTTGGGCAAATCGATTGTAGGGTGACCGTGACTAAAGTACTTATGATTTGTATGAAAATAAATACATATATAATAAGTACACTAGGTATAACGGCCAATTCTATTCAGTTATATCGCTTCATCATCATCATCATCACCAGCCCTTTTACGTCCCCACTGCAGGGGCTCAGGCCTTCCTTATGGATGGTTAAGGAAGGTGGGCCATGACCCTCCACGCTGGCCCTATGCGGATTGGAGGGTATTAACGACCGCAAATGCAGCTGGGGTCAACAGCATAATGTGTCTTCCGAAGTAGCTCGAGATACTATTTTTTTGGTCACCTATCCCGTGACCGACCCTTGCTAAAGTTGCTTGACTACGATCACGGACCGGGGCGCTTATCCACTACGCCACCGAGCTACTCATCTTATTATATTGCATATTCAGCGAGCAATTATCAAGGAATGCATTTTGCCAAACTTTAATTAATCTTAACGTTTTTAACAGATTAATAAAATATTACTGTTTTAATACATATTGTCTATTATTATATTTCAAATGAATTATTAACAAACAAATTTTTAGTTTCGGTTTTTGTCAAATGAAAAAAATTTTTTTTTTCCAAATATGGCTTCAGCTAATAATATTTGAGAAAGTCGTATAAAAGAAGTAGTTAGATACACGCGCTATACTCAGCCAAATCCCGAGGACTCATGAAGCTGGCTAGCTATAAATCAACAAATACGAGATTTGTCGAACTTTATATTGGCTCATCAGGATGACAGATTTGGCTAAATTATGAAATAGCCCAAGTCGTGGTCTGTCGAATCAGATCTTAATCGTTCTACTTTAGCGATCGGTCCATTTCATACATATGTAAGAGATAGTTAAGTATTTATCATCTTTATCTTGTCGAGAAGAGCAGCAAAAAATGGCAGTACCATCCTTTTCTCGATGTTATTGGGGCCATTTTGACTCCCTGTAACTGGAACAAGCTAGAAATCTAAATTTTCAGTGACCAAGAAGGCAGTACAAAGTTATATACCCTTAAATTTGAAAAAAAAAATATTGCAAGTCAAATTTCTTCAATTTTGGCACTGACTAACGATTTTCTTCTTATGAAAGAAAGGAGAAATGTTTGAAAAACCTGATAAATATGTAAGAATTAATTTAATTATTTATTGAGCTAAATAATTTACATGCAGTGAAAACTCTTCCTAATCAAAACGCACGATTATAACATTATCATTTTAAAAGTAGTGTCATCATTTTTAAGTTAACTCATAGATATTTTTATCCATATTAAATTTGAGGATCGTTCGCTGCGTTAAAATTTTCTTAGAAAATTAATAAAGGTGTATAGGACAAAAGGTTGTGCTACCTTTTGTGTTCATCAAGAAACATGGTATTTATTGTTTATAATAATAATATGCCGGGCGATCGACCTGTCCTGTTAATGAATGCGCTCTACCTACGTGAAAGGTATAAAAGAAGAGCTTTCCCACCAGCCCGTCATTAGTTCGTCAGTCGTACCTGCCGTAACACGTATCGTCAGCTCTTGCTCCGCGCTTAGTTTTTCGTATTTTGTGTGTACAAAATAGCCAGAAAGAAGTTTTCTATCAGCAAACTGTATATTCGGTTTTATAGTTAACCACTGTTTGACACTTCGAGCATTGCGGTACTACAGCAACAACAGTAACAGTTACAGTACAATAAACAGTTCACCGCAGCGGTCCTTCATAATTTCAGTAGAAGAGTCAGTCATCATCTTGAGCAGCGCCATGTTGTCTTGTGGTGATCTTACGGAAAACGACAATAATTCCACTCAACCAATTATATATGTAAAGCCGCTGCCCCGGAATAAACTTTGGCGACCGACTAATTGGGATGTGAATGCCGCCGAATTTGTGCCCCGCTCACAAACTGAAAATCGAACGTCGACTTCCTGGAATGTGGACGCTCCGGTATTTGTGCCAGCCACTCAAATTGACACTGGAAGTTCTTGGAGCTCTACACCACGCTCCGATAGTGATCAAGAAAGGGATACAGTAAGGCGTGTCTGTATGCGTTGTGATAAAGAATTCAAAACGTTTTCTGATGGTAACTATGTTCGGGAAGACTCACGCTTCTACGACTCTGGTAGTCTTGAGGGAAACAAGTGCAAATGCTGTTATAGATATGTTGGGGAGAGTGGCTGTACTGAATGTCGTTTGCACATGTCGAGTGACACAAAACTCGGTATGAACGGACCTCTTGAAGGATATATTCGTGCACAAGATCGTCGTGATGGAGTCTACGCAGAAGATACAGAGATATGTTATACGACTGCGAACCTCGAATTGGGCTTTTGCAAAAAGTATGTGAAACCGACATCGCCAGTTGTGGATTGTAACACACATTTCTCCGGCAATCAAATAATGATAGGACGAGATGCAACGACTGCTAACCAAATGATGGTCCAACGAGGCCGAACATCTGCTAACCAAACAGTGGCTCGCGCTTCGAATAAGGTGCTTGCATTGCAGTCATACAATCCATTGGCCTGTACCTCCATTGTGCATTTATTTTTGTTTTTAGCGACAACTGTTCTATGGAGTTGAATTATAATTGATGACAATTAGTATGAAATGTATCTAATTTTTTGATAGGTATCATTCATTTCTTTTGGTTGGATACAAATTGTAATTATTAACAAATATTATGTACTATTTAGTGACATAACGTTGTTAGTGCCTTAGAATTATGGAATTTGCAATAAACTTCGTATGTTTAAAAACAAACTTTATTATTATTTACCCTACCAGTCTCAGTTAGTTGCACAAAAGTTAATTATAAATTTCATTAGTTTAAAGCGACATTTCCCATACAAATTTGACATTGATTAGTGCTTATAGGAGCCATTAAACCTTTATGGACGTTTGTGCAACTGACCGTTAGTTAATAATATTAGTTTGCATTGTGATTAGGTAAATAATTAAATTTAACATGCTTAATACATTGCTGTTATTTAAAGTAATCAAGTTAAGTTAGTATTTCTTAAAAAAAAAATATTAGACCTTGAATAACTCACAGTGCAGACATGAGTTTTTATAGTGGCAACCAGCGTGCTTAATATATTATTTTGTGAATAAATTCAAGAATTCGGGAGTGATATGGTTGCCCTTCCTGCTGCCACCGGCCTCCCATCCCAGGTTGAATATTCTGCATCTCTGAGACAAACAAATACATTACATGATATATCTTCTATCTTTAGTAAATTCCCGAAACTGTGATTTGATTTAAATTAAAAGATGACATTGACAGTTTTTATCTCAATTATTTTTCTCTTAAAAGCTCTGGCAACGCGAGGCTGGGTTAGCAAGTATTTGTGTATATATGTTATGAAGTATCGTACCGTGATCCGTCGACGTTTGACAACTTGCCCGGCCACACTTGGGCAAATCGATTGTAGGGTGACTGTGACTAAAGTACTTATGATTTTATTTATAGTCAAATGAAAATATACATATAGATATATAATAATAAGTACACTAGATATAACAGCCACTTCAAATCAAATCAAGGCAAATCTTAATCGTCGCACTTTAGATATTGGTCCATTAAATTTGATTCAAACAGCTCAAATTAGGAAAAAGTAAAGAGGATCTAAGAAGGACTACGCCAAACTGGTTAAGAAAGGCTTGAGATATTGCTGATAAGTTAAAATCAATAAATTGTACTATATCATCTAAGTATAGAAAAAATAATAGAAATCGCAAGTCGTCGTTTCCTTTTGCTTCAGCATGTGCGCTGGTTGACACGTGCTTTAACAGTGCTATCAATAGACAAGGTTTATCGTCAGAGCAAATTTACGCTTCAATTGCAATTTTAGTATTAGTCCAATTCATAATATACAGAGAATAAGCAGTAGCAGAATTAATTTATAATTTGGTGTAGCTAGGTGTGTTTAAGTAGGCATTTACAAGTATCTCTGCTGGTCAACGTTCAGCATATCAATGTCGGATCTGAAATTTCGGTCTCCTATCAGATAACTAGCGTTTTCGAATGTTGCTTAAACTTCACAACCTGCCTCACCAATTTTCCATCGTCTCAATAATATTGTGTTATATTTGTGTGGTAGTGATTGGAACAACCCTAACAACGCGAATGGCGCGGGTCGTTTCAAGACTGAAGTGTTGGCGGCGTTTGAGGAGCATTACTCGTGCGTGTGGCGCGTCTCGTGGAACCTCACCGGCACCCTGCTCGCGTCCTCGGGCGACGACTGCTGCGTCAGACTGTGGAAGAGTTAGTACAAATTCAATACTAATCGGCTGATTGACCGCTTTAGGAATACTATCTTTTATTGTTAAACCACTATGACCTAAAAGTGTTTTCAATAATAAAAGAAACATACTATCAAATCAATCAATTTAAATGCGGGTGTAGACAATAAACGAAAATATATACCTATTATTTTTTTTGATAGTGTTTCATATACTGTTGGCGATAATTATACTTTTATGCTTATTATATTTATAATGCTTAGGACAATTAATAATGATAAAGCAAATATTTTATGCTCGTTATCACGTGACTGCAAACAGCGCGTGACGTCACGCCCTTCTTACACACAACGCTCCTTCATTGTAAACCTTCATGTGTATAATTTTATTATAATTTACAGTGAGTTTTGTATTACTTATTCAGAGAAAAGATTTTTATTGTAACGATGTATTAACAAAATAATGGTTTCTATCCCCAGTGCAATATTTAAATCAGTGGAAGTGTGCAGCCGTATTTAAGAACGAACCGTTGCCGGGCGACTCGCCGCCGCTGCAGCGGCCACACACCGCCTACGTGCGCATGGCCACCATGGCCAACCCCGCCCACATGCCCTACCATTGACCCCACGTGAGCTATGGTAATATATCTATCACACTCGCCACACTTGAGCTACCACTGTATTTATAACACCGCTTACGCGCGCATGGCCACCATGGCCAACCCCGCCCATATGCCCTACCATTGACCACACGTGAGCTATGGCAATATATCTATCACACTTACCACACGTGATCTTAGCTTCCACTGACACTTGGGTTATTTCGTGAAAACCGAATTACCACTGTATCTCGTGCGCATGACGGATGTATCAAACCGGAAGTTCGGTTTCCGCGAAATCACCCACTTACTATTGTTTAACATTTTTTAACAGCAGTCCATCAAAAGATTAGTCTGAGTCAGAATCTGATATCTATGAAAACATTACCCGAACAGTTCGTTTCTCTATTGCCCCTACAAACTATCATGCTTTATCATGTTAATGATTTGTCATTGTTATTAGAAATAAGTGGCAGACTGTGTTTATAACTAGATCCCGTTACTGGAGGTGCAATATGGTAGTTAGTATTTTTTAGAGATGCGTGAAAAGAAAATAAATTCGTGAATACGGATACGAATTTATTTCATTTTCACCCACCTATTTTTACTTTACAATGGGTGTCTAATGCCTATTTTCACTAAATTTAGGAGTCGCCCAAATCTGTTGTCATAAACATTTAGGAATTGCCTTAGGTAAAAATGCATTTCATCATTGACCAGGAACCACCTAACGAAATTAAGCAATGTCTAAAGTTTGATATTCGTTATGCGGCGCCGTGCGCTAGGCATTTGCGTATATGACAGAACTATATGTCAAGGGATAAATTTATTTGGAATTAAATTTGTAACATTAGGCGTTTCCTAGTTAAGCTATGCCTTATTCCAGGTTAGTGAAAATGGGTGTAAGTATTGGCTTCGGTGAAATACTTCAGGGGCAGTATATGGATTATCTGTTTTTTCGGTTTCTATTAACTTTAATGGCTTTGGCATCTTAGAATGAAGACAATCTCGTTATGGTGTTCTCAATAATTTTGTATTATCTTGTGTTTTACTACAGCTGTTACTTTAAGCAACAAGCGTACTATGCGAGCCAAATGAGAATGGATTTGTCAAACGGCCATCTTGGTTCGCATTGTCTTCAGGCTGTAAGGTGGGAAAAAAGAAACAAAAATATATTTTTTATAAATCAAAGAACGCGTTATCGTAGTATCACGATATGATGTAATTGATGAATGCATACTGGAATTTGTAATTTAACCTGAAGTCATAAAATAAAGAAAATATTAATATTAGATCCAATTATATAATATTACTAGCTGACCCGACAGACTTCGTCCTGTCAAAAAGATTTGTAATGTGGCAGTTTTTTTGCCTACGTATTTAAAAAAATTCTCCTGAACAGAACCGTCACCCTGGTGATAGGGCGTTGTGAATAAAAAATAATTAAATAAAACATATATAAGGATTTAAAAGTAAGTAATCGCTTTATTGTTAATCATGTGAATCATAATTATTATTGCAATGTATTAATAGTAATAGTATTAAATATAGAAAAAAGAGATTTTTATGATCATAAAAACACATTACACACAACAGCATTATAAAAGTAAACTATTCGAATTAAAAAAATATATAAACATTCTCAAGGAAAAATGCTGGAAGAATCCATCTACCTGTACCCCGGAATGGGACTCGAACCCATTCGCGATCCAGGGACTGCTCTAACCAATGAGCTATCTAGGACCCAACAGCTTTGCTACTACAGAGCGTATTTTCATCAATGTTCCGGCAATACATGTAATGACGTGGAAACTGATGCATTTTATCTCGCGTGCCGAAACTAATACAAAAGAAACGCGAGTTTCGGAACGCGACATTAAACTCCTCCAACTATGTATTCTGTGCTCCAACGCACACACGCACATTGTTTTGATAGATATGATCTTTGACGTTAGGAACACACCTACATTGCTTAGACAACAGTGAGTGCTTGTAATTTAATATGAACTTTATACCATAGCAATAAAGCTCAAATTGACTACGTTTTAGTTACAAATCATTTGTATGGGAAAAAGAAAAGGGCTATTTTTAGGGTTTTTCCAGCAATAATTCTACTTCCTTGAACTTCAACGAACATTTTAAAAAAAGATTTGGCCAAATTGGTCGAGGCGTTGTTGAGTTATGCGCTTACCAACACATTTTGCGATTCATTTTTATATATATATATAGATAGTAGCTTTAAACTCCGTCGTGTAGTTTACAGATTAAAGATAAGATTATTTTTTTCTTTCTTAATATCTTTAATCTGTAAACTACACGACGGAGTTTAATGCGGTACGATGCGAGCAAAGCCGCTTGCAGAAAGCTACTATAATATTATATAATTGGATCTAATATTAATATTTTCTTTAATAACATTTTTTTTTATGATATCAGTGTACAGACAGTGGGAAGCAATTTTGTTATATTAAAATATTTAGCGAACTTTATTTTCTTTGCTGTCAGTACTATTTGACTGCTAAGCCGTGAAACGATTATTCGATTCTACTGATTTGGCTCGCGCAGTGCTGTGATTTCTTGTGGCACACTCTATTTAAATTATTGATATATTTTTTTTACACTAAAGTATTTAAAGTGTTTTTTTGTACTATTCTATTTATGAAAGTATGAATAAAATACTATTATAAAAGGCACTATATCACTCTATTATTTTGTTTTATGTAAAAATCTAATAATAAACTACAAATATTATCCAAAAATGTGCATCCAAAAGCAATCGATACATGCGCGTACAATAAGAATAAAACCTTTTTATTCACTTAAAATTACAATTAAGATGACACGTAAAGGATTTTTATAAAAATTATTAAAAACATGGCCGTATCAAACATGTCGTCATTTAAGGGGTGCTGTCCGTCTCAATCTCTGAATGTGGGGCAGTTCCTTGTTGGCTGTCCTGGTAGAATACCAGCCTACCTGCGAATAATTATAATAGATTATCTCACGCGTTACTTTTTAGCCCATGAAACGTAAACTACTGAATAATTATATAGAATAACTACGTTAGTTAGTTATTCTATATAAGCGGCTTCTTCCGCTTGGTTCCTAGAGAACTGTTTAGTAAAATAAAAAGTAGCCTATATGTTAATCCACGCACTGAAGTATCCATCCTCACAAATTTTTGCATCTAAAATATTAGTAGAATGATAGGGCAGTTTTTATTTTAATTATTTATAGTAACAGCAATGCAGTATTAATATGTATGTTATCATGGTGTACTCACTGGCATTGCTCTCTCACTCTTGCAGTGGCTGTTTGTCGAAGAGTGCGGACTGACAATGTTACTGTAAATAAAATAAATTGTATTAAATGCAAAGATCATTTCTGTCTGAAATAAGTTAATTTTTTAACATTTTAAGCGTTGCCAAAATTATGATATAGTATTAAAATATAATATGAAAATATTTCAAATTAAGTATTATATTGTAAACCAGATGAAAATAAAAGGAGAACATCTAATCTATTAATGATTTCTATTTTGTTTCAATACAATTTATTTGCTGGCGAGCCTACAGACAAGAGATGGAATAATTAGTAATAATAAATAATTAAAGTAATAAAAAATAATAAATTGGTAAAATAAATTATTGCTAATTAAAATCGATCATTAGAAATCATTCGAATTCGCCTTCTGTTTTTATTATGCGAAATATATGCCTACGTGCTTATTTGCACCATTTATAATTATAATTCATAGATAAAATAAATGTTTACCCTAGAGATGCTCGTTTGATAGTCGTTGCGTTACTCTGTAATAGTATCCTTGCTGGTGGAGCATTCAAAGGTCCGCTTGCTCGCCAACTGGAACAACAGTTACGTTTTCTCTGTACATTTCATAAAAAATATAACTTTGTGAGGAATGAATCACTATTGTTACAATCAATGATAAAAAGATTTTGTGCTATTGGTTTTGCTACTTACTATCTCACACGAGAGGTTTTATTGGCGCTAATAAAATCTTGTTATTGTCAAAGTGACAGTGACAGCTCACTGACAGATAGTGGATCACTCCGTGTTGCAATCGATACATAGCGATGTCCATGGTATTCGATATGTTTTAGTCTAATGCTACTAACATTTTTGTGAAACACGTTCCACTTACCTCGGTAATCCGTCGCCACCTCTCCTATAAAACTCTGATCGTTTTGCGTCCCCATTTCTACTGGGGCAGCTGTTCAGTCTGATCTGTCTCTCCTCTAAATTGATTTTCTTCACGCACGGATTTCTCATATTCCTCCTTAAACACTTCTTCGGATCGTTCAAGTCGGGGTTGGAATGTTCCTCTATACTCGGCAGTCTCGGGTCCAAGCCGCAGTCACCGTTATCGTAGACCTTAAACACCGGACTCTTGAGGCCGTATGTACCGCTTGTCGGTCTAGCCATCGAATACCTTGGGCTTTGCATGGGTGGGCATTTCGGTTTCGCCGGTTCGTTTTGTTTTTGCCTCGTAATTGGATTTGTTAGGGCCGTGTTTAGCTGGGAACCGTGTAGAGTCGAGTTTGCGGTTAGACGCTCGACTTGTGTCGTCATATCTGGGTCTGGCATCTTAGGCGGCGTGGGCAGTCTTTTAGGCGTAAACGTTTTCGACGGTTGGGCCATTGCATAAGTTTTGCTGCTTGATGCTTCTGGTTCTTCTTTCTTCGCGAGGTACTCCGGTGGTGTGAGTGGTCTAGCTTCTTGTATGTTAGAAGACCACAGCAGCTCTGCGCCTGCTAGCGATGACATTTGGTGTAGATGCGTCTTAATGTTATAGATGCCGGCGACCGCACCGAATGGATCCGCTTTGATTTGTGCCACGACGTCCATAAATGTTTGACCGCAAAGCTCCGATATTTGTCTGTAGATCTGAAAGCGCAAACTAAATTTATTATATTGGTATATTTCTGTGTGTGATCTAAATTTTGTTTAAGAAATATAAGAACTGAATTTGTGGTTGGGTGATGGTTAATATGTATACGACTCTGTATCGGATAGAACTTTTTCTAGTCAATAGATAGCTCAAGTGTATTTTTGTGTCACTGATTGCCTAGAATTCTAGTTTAATGAGTGTATCTTTACCTCTTCGATAGACTTTAATTCAAGTGTAGTGTATCTTTGCCATTCCGAAAGCCTTGAGCAGTATAGTGATAACCTAACCTCGGGCCTTGCTGAATGAAGGTATCGTTTTTATTTTTCTATTAGCCATAGAATGTCTAGTCTTGATACTTCTCTGTTAGCCTTGGGGGTTCGAGTGTAGTATGTTGTCACTTCATTATCGGCGTTCGAGTGTATTTTAACGTTACTTCTGTCAACATTGAGGTATCGAGTGTATCGGTACCTCTGACAGCATTGGAGTATCTGTATATTGGAACCTCTCTGGCAGCATTGAGTATAGAATGTATAATTACCTCTCTGTTAGCCTTAGGCTCGACGGTGCCGAGCGGGTGTGTTTTCATCCTCATGCCGGGTCTCCTCACCCAGCGGTGACGCGCCGCCTCCTCGATTTTCATCCGCAGCTCCACGTTGGGTTCCAACAGGTGTTGGATAAACGCTTTGCATTCTGTTCAAGGAAATTTTTTGTATGACGTATACGCCTTTGCTTTTCTTGCTGCTATTCTTTTCATAATTAAGGCCCAGGAAACTATACGCATGTACTTGAAAAAAATCGATTGTCGTAAATTAAATATAAAATAGTCTGGGGTCGATATAGATGTAAGCTAACAAAATATCTTTAAAATAAAATAATATCGTAAAAATTACAAAATATCTTACATCATCATTATTAGCATAAACTATTTTTCTCTGTAGACAATCACGCATGTTTACTACACAATATTCGTTCAATAACCATTAAGTTTTCATATATACTAGTTACTATAGAAAATGTCTTCACTGTCCTTCTCGACGGTTATTAAATAAATCTTCTATTCTGCTGTGACAACATTAGTAACCATTTTCCATCTTATTATAAAAAGTAAATAAGTCATGTGACATTGGTGGTCAATAGTTTAAACCTCGTGCTAACTTTAGTTTGTATTATAATAAGGCGGTTTAATTTATAATTCTATACTGAATTTGAAGGATGATTTCATAAATTAAAATTATCTTTTTAACAGGTATTTGAAGAATTAGCTGTTAAGAAGAAAATTATACTAAGGTCAAATACAGGGTTGTGTTTGCAAAAATGCCCCTCAACTTCAAGACTGCGTTGCAAATGTTAATAGGATAAAGCAAAAACTTTATTTCGGTTAAGGCGCTGTATAACCCACATAATGGGAGCTAATCTGAAAACCTAACAATAGATGGCGGTAGTTAGGTAAGGGGAATTGGGCGAATTGGAAAAAAGTATTTAAAAATTGACAAAAAACTTGAGTATCCGATTTGTTTGTGAAAAGATATTCGATAATTCAATATTAAAATCACACGAATGTCGCATATCTTAGTCCCTTGCTCAGTGACAGGTGTCATAACACCCCAACCCAACTAGCGCCTTTAGTTTTTCAAATTTGCTATTACCGTTTGCTACTCTTGCACGTTAAATAATTGAGTTCGAATGTGTCAAATGTATCGATAATTGTACAGCGCCTTCTACCTCCGTAAAGGGAACTTTAATCAATACATCAATTAGACAATTTTTATGCCAGTAGCAAGAGTTGGTTGTTTCTAATTTTCAATAAGTTTCACGATGAATGTTAATGTAAAACCTTCGTCAAAACCTTCGTCGTCTAATTGTAGGAAAGATTGTTAATGTTATTTGTGTCTTTGATTGTTAGTTTTACGGTTGAACTACAAACTACATCTGTAGCAGATACCGCCTTTTTCGTCGCTGTCTGTAGCTCAGAACTACCATTGCTAGAACGTGGCAGATAGCATGTTGCCTATCGCTTCGAAGATTCTGCATCACACATCTGCTATCTTTTTTGCTCCAACAAATGGTGATTCTAAGCTACAGAAAAGGACAAGGTGACAAAAAGGTCATACCGGTCTTAATTTTATGGCTTTCAGTCTATATGAATGTATTTTAATGGATTTATGATAAGTTGATTTTATAACATGTGTTAAGTATCCGGTCTTGTAACTTTTCAATCTAATCGAATTGTTTAGCGTTTTAAGATTTAGTTTTTTTTTGTAAGGTATTTAAATCAAGTGATTTGAGGTACGTAAAGTACATAAGTTTTCCTCTAATACAGATAATGATTAGAATAACAAGTTTAATAAATTTTATATATAATTTGTCCCAATAAAAATGTTTTGAACCCCTGAAAGCTTTTTTTATATTATTTATTTTGTTTCGTTGGCCTTATTTTTATCGTAATAAGAATCTTAGTTATAATAGCATCGATAGTATTTTAATAACTGCTTGTTTATAAAAAGTAATAAATGTGAAAATAATTATATTACATAAGTAGAGTACCCTGAGTACATACTGAGTCTATAAAGGTCTTATCGTTTCTTTGCTATCGATTATATTGTATTTTTTCATCTGCTGCTGATATTTAATTAAAGGTTCATCAAACACACTCAACTTTCAATACAATTGGAGGTAAAGAGTAAATAGTGTATATTAATTCATTCGTTGAACAAATTTACGCGTTTATGAATTAGCATAATGAACATAGAATGCATTTGTTTCGACCTGATGCTATAGGGGGCGGAATTGGCGTTGACAACTGTACTCTAAAATAGAGTATTGTACTCTGAAATACTCTTTACGCAATGTTTTATATACTAGAGCCAGTTAAGCATATAACATGCGTATCTATTATTGTAACTCAAATAATAAATAAAAGAAACTTTATTTAAAATCATAGGCTTTTTTAAGGGTTCTGTATCCAAGGGTAAAAAAAACGAGATCCCACTATAAATACTGCGCTGTCCATCCGTTAGTAACCAGACTGTATCTCATGAGCCGTGATACAGTTGAAAAATTCATAGAGATGATTCGGTTTCTGCTATAACAACTCCCTTTCGTTCCCTTCATTCGCGTATCTGAGATTGTTAACGCGATTCACTTGGCCTGTTTTTTTAATGAGGCTTTATTTATCAGCTTTGAAATCAGTCATACTCTATTACTTCTAATAAAACTTGGCAACCCTAACCGGTACTCACCTGTGGAGACGCACGTTAGCGCGACCCGTTGTTTCCTAGTGAATCCTCTAGCGATGGCGGCGCGCAGCAGCGGACGGGACCTCGTCTCCCCGCCCGCCGCCGCCCCTCCCCCTCCCCCTGCCCCTGCCCCGCCCCCTCCCCCGCCACCGTCCGCGCCGGTGAACGGCAGCCCACCAGTCACCATACCGTACACTATCACTCCTCTGTAAGCAACAGACCAGCAATCAATGACATTGGTTTTACATTAGGGTACGTGAGCCAGGCCCCGATGTTACTCGACTACATGATATAGAGTACTATAATCTAAAAGAAGGTTAAGCGTCAGCGTAAATTTACGCTAATATTGCAGTTTTAGTATTAAACCAAATTCATATTATACAGAGAATAAGCAAACCTACTTACTACCTTCTAGGAGTGAATACTACTCCCGTAGAACCTCGTCAACCTTTGCTAAGTTTCTGTTTAATAAAATGAATTTTGACTAATGAAATGAATGGAATGAGACTGGTTTTACTAAGAGAGATAGACTAGTAGGTAACAGCCAGTTGCACGAACTTCATTAATATTTTCATTAGTTTGAAGCGACATTACCCATACAAATTTGACGTCCATTAAAGCTTAAAGGCGTCATTAAACCTTCATGGACGTTGTGCAGTTGCACAACAGACCGTAAGTGTTATATAGTAAGCCTAAATGATATAGAGTACTATACGCTATGTGTACGGTTGGCAACCTTAGCGGTATAGTCCATCTGTCTAGATGCGCATGTTTAGTGAGTGACGAAAGGAAGCATTGTACCTTTCATAGTAACTTCAAAGCGATAATTATTCTATGATTCAATTTTTTGAACAACATCTATCCTGACGACTACTACGTACTTGCGCGTAGGTCGTAGGTACAGGTTGTTTCTACTTTCATTGCCTCAAGGCTTAATTTTGGCCATGGAAGTTCTGTTTCTGGTACGTGTAGTTATAAATCATGAATACTGGATAGGTACCGAGCTTCAGAGTTTTAGACTTCAAAGTGTAGCTCTGACACTTAACGTGTCAGGTAATGAATTACTGAAAACCGTTGTAGTTACTTTGTAGAATTGCTATACTGGGCCATACGATTCATCTGAATACCTCCAAGTATGTAAAGACCAATATTTGCAGCCATTAGGAAGATTGGGACTATTCGTACACTTTTTAGACAATGATTTTTTTAAATATTGATAATCAAAGATAAATTACTCAATTACTTATTAAAACATAAAGCATACTTTCTACTCCTTATTTAAAAAGTTCAAAGTCAATATCTTGTAAAATAAAACAAAGGATTGAATTCTACTAAAAGCTAATGAATGTCCGAATCTACCCCAATTACGGGGTACAATCGTACATGGGCAGGATAACATTCAGACAGTGTGGTAACTTCATATATATTAAGTAAAACAACAAATTAATTTAAGAAAATAGTTTTCATTGATCTTAAACTTACCAACGATGTCATAAAGTGGTTAACTTCGTGGACAACTGGCAGTCGCCGGCGCCTATCCACTGACACAAAGTCGTAATAAATAGGCTTTTCTTCAAGATGCAGTAGTGACTGTATGACGGTTCCCCGTGTACGAATGGTGCCAAACTTCCCCTAATGCTCCGTAGAACGTAGCTGTAGTAGCTGATATTGTACCTATATCTACTTAAGATTATAAATTGTCAAGTTGATTGTCCAGAATTGTTAGATATCATCATATTTTCAGTCCCGACAGAACAGCTTTATTGTTAGGGCCCGCGTAAGCTTGAATATGATACTTGATGAGTGAGGGTATAATGTTGACATCTTTCATTGCAACATTAATTCATTTAAGCGGAAACTAATAGAATACTTACTGTCTCGTTAATTAATGGCGCAGGTACGATTATTTATTTGATTGTGTAGTTTGTGCGTGAACTAACTCATTAGATCTAAGCTATGTTATGCCATAATTTATCTTTTTTGATTAGCTGTTGGTTTTCCAAGATAAATAAATAAAACTAAATTAATCAGTAGTCATCTAGGCATTTTCCACGTACATGCTCCACAAGTCCACTTCGGGTCCATACCGGCGGCCGTCAACGAACAGCTCCGGCGCCGCATACTCCAGGGAACCACACGGCGTCCGCAGCGCGCCGCCCGCGCACCAAATGTTCGACAAACCGAAGTCTGAAATCATTACCGACATTTACATAGCAAGCTGTTTAAATATTAATTTTTGACCTAGGTAGGATTTTTGACCTTACACTACTGACTTTCACTGATGTAAAGTATTGTACGAGTATATTAAAATTCTGTTTATTTTAAGAATGAAAAATGTCAGTGTTGCCTTTGATAAATTTATCTTAATGTGCCTGTTGACGACAGCCTTCTTAAATTTTTGTTTTTTGTTTTTTTATATTTGTAACTAGCTTTCGCCAGCGGCTTGGTCCCTATGGAAATGTTTAGTGTGTTAAAAATACTATTATATAAGTAAGCTAATACCCTATCTGTATACCAAATTTCATCAAAATACATTCAGTAGTTTGAACAAACATCCAAACATCCGCTTACACATTTATAATATTAATAGGATTTGAATTTTATATGACTTTGTTACTTATTGTTTATTAACTTTACTTGCTGTCTTGTATCTTGGGTTTTTATACGAATTTTAAGTACCTATATATTTTTAATGAAAAATGCTTAAAAACCCAATTTTGTCTCTGGCACTTTGAGATGGGACTCGAACCAATGACCTTTCGCAACACTTCTTCTTCCGGACGATAGTGGCGTACACACCATACATGCAAATAAGCACTGCATTGCATACCCTACCCATAAAACCCAACTAAACCTACATCGTTTAATTACGAGTATTCCTGTGAATATCATGATTTGGTTAAATTCTTATAATTCTTATAATCATGATTTGGTTAAATTAGTAAAAGTGCTTTTATAACATTCTAGTTAGCGGAATATTTTCAACCGACCGCTACGCTGGCGCCGCCGCCACCGATGCGGCCGTAAACTGCACTTCTTACAGCTTATTCGCAATACAAACATAACAGGTCAAAACTCGTGTTGTACGCAGAAATCATTTGTATGTGTGTTTAAATTTTATGCATGTGTTACGGATTTTTACATTTTGTTACATGTTTTAGAGGCACTGCTTATCACAACATGATTTAATTAAGAAGTCCTCAAAAGAGTAGCGTTTGCACAAAGGAACTAGTTAATTCGGCCGGCGTATCGTTTAAACATTTTTTTCGCCATTTTGTTTTGGTTACTTTTCCGAGCTTAAGTTGTAAAATCATTAATCAATTTAATTACGTAGTGATTTTATTACCTTGAATATTGTAAAATTATAGCTTTGAGCTACTCTTTCAAGATTTAACTAAAATAATAATAATTGGCTAGCGTTCAAATCTTATATATAAATAATTTTACAACCATATTTTCTGAAGTTTAAAAATTAGCAAAACTAATAGTTACGATGACGAAGTGAGTAGCCAACTTTTAAAACAACCTTGTAATTTATACAATGATGTTTTATTGAATTAAGTATTAAAAAATATAGGCACGTTGATTTAATTTATAAAATTTAAAGGATTGTCCAGATTGATACCGAACGTTTTATCGGCCGCTGACTGTTTACGTGAACAATGTCTTAAATAATTGGTATTAAGTATAAACAGTTCAGTAGTACTTACTTTTTCGATAAAAAAAATAATAATTTTGTGGTAACTAATAAATAATTTACATTTCGATGTTCATGATGACCAAAAACAATAAAATGTTCCTCATCCTAGACTCATTAGAAGGTACTGAAACTATGGTGAAAATTTGTGCTTTTTTTCAATATTGGGACATGTTGCATACCCTACGCCAAATCTCTGTGCGCGCCCTTGCCGGGCGACTGCTTTAACTATTGAGCTACCCAGAACCTAACAGGACTGACGAACTTTTCAAGCACTTGTTACTGTTTTGGTACTACAGAGCGTATTTTCATCAATGTCCAGGCAATCTACTTTCGTCAAAGATAAGAATTATTATATCTGTTTCTTTGCTAATATATCTCTTTATTATTTTAAATACAGTCCACCGTTCTTGCTTTCGATTACAGTGCCCACTTATGCTACGTCAGCGTAATAATTTGTTTCTACAAAGTATACGACTTAGCAAGCTCCCTGTTGGCACGACTTTTAATCGTAAACTATGATCATCTCATTGCTAAGTGTAGTCCTCCACAATAATCAGAGCCGGTGCTAACATATACAATAAGCTTTAACATCAAGCAGCTGCCGTCGACCTTCATAAATCATCAATGTTTATTTGGCGACGTCCATAGCGTCGTCGTGTGCGTGGTCACCATTCAAAAACTTCTGGTACTATAGTTATCGGTTATGCTATAGTTATCTGGTGGTATAGGGTCGGTCACGGGATGGGTGACCAAAAAATTATTATCTCGAGCTACTCCGTGCTTCGGAAGGCACGTTAAGCCGTTGGTCCCGGCTGCATTTGCAGTCGTTGATACCCTCCAATCCGCATTGGGTCAGCGTGGAGGGTCATGGCCTATCCTCCTTAACCATCCATAAGGAAGGCCTGAGCCCCTGCAGTGGGGACGTAAAAAGGGCTGATGATGATGATGATGAAACAAAAGATTAATTATGAACGCAGACCATTGGTAAAAAATGTAGTTTTTGACTTTGAGGGACCTTGGTGTGTGTGGATATTGAGTTAAATACAATATATATAATATTATCTATATATATAAAAATGAATCGCAAAATGTGTTGGTAAGCGCATAACTCAACAACGCCTCGACCAATTTGGCCAAATCTTTTTTTAAAATGTTCGTTGAAGTTCAAGGATGGTTTTTACGGCGAGAAAAATTAGAATTATTGCTGGAAAAACCCTAAAAATAGCCCTTTTCTTTTTCCCATACAAATGATTTGTAACTAAAACGTAGTCAATTTGAGCTTTATTGCTATGGTATAAAGTTCATATTAAATTACAAGCACTCACTGTTATCTAAGCAATGTAGGTGTGTTCCTAACGTCAAAGAGTCAATTTGCACTTTATTACCACTATACAAAGTTGAAATTCAATAATATCAATACAGTGTGCGTGTGTGCGTTGGAGCACAGAATACATCGTTGGAGGATTTAATGCCGCGTTCCGAAACTCAATTAAAGTAAATCATTAGTATTGATTTTCAATTTGGTCGGCTTTGTAATTATGATTCACATAATTAACAATAAAGCGATTACTTACTTTTAAATGCTTATAATATATATTTTATTTTATTATTTCTTATTCACCACGCCCTATCACCAGGGTGACGGTTCAGTTCAGTTCATGAGAATTTTTTGCCCCGACTATAAAATAAGTAGGAACAAAAAACTGCCACATTACAAATCTTTTTGACAGGACGAAGTCTGTCGGGTCCGCTAGTTTACTATAATTATATCTCTAATAGTGGTGTATTTGTGAATGCCTGTGTGTTAGCGGGATAAGAATATGTAATATCGTTATAGCTTTTTTAGAGCATGAATTAAAGTTAATTGCAGGCATATTAGGTACTGGTAGGCACCATTAACTGTTATCTGTCATCACTACTACTATATTAAATAGATGTTTTTCTAGAAGAGGATCATTGATGAGTTATTTCAAATATTTTCTTACATCTATTAAAATAATGTGGCATATAGAAAACTATTTACCTACAATCTTGATGTACTGTTTCGTGGTGTCTAACATGATGTTTTCCATTTTCAGATCTCTGAAAATAAAATAATAATTTATAAGTAAAAAAAAAAGATTAAATTGTGTTGGTTGATCTTAATTTATTGAACGCTCATACATTTGAAAACAAGAAAGGAAGTAGAATCAGAAGGTACAGCAACGTAGCATTAAAAATTGTTCATACAATTTTATTTAAAATTTGATTATAATGGTTAGTGTGAGTAAGTGTAAAGAACAGAACAGAATTTAGAGGTCGTAAGAAGAGCTCGATAACGTGCGTTTATGCATCCAGATGCGGAAGTTAAGCAACTGGCAAGAGCCGTTCATATGATGGGTGGTCGATTTTTATCCTGAGCTCCTCCACACTTTGGAAAGCATGTAAAACCGTTGGACCCGGCATCATCTACAGCTAATACGCATTCCGCTTCGGTGCCGTTTATGGCCATCCTCTCCAGTCATTTTGGCACTTTTCTGTCTTTCTCAAATCAAAATAATTTATTCAGTCTAGGCTGTTAGGTACAAACTAGTGATGTTCCGGATATCCGTATCCGTATCCGCGGATATCCGACGGAAAATAAAGATCCATATCCGTATCCGTATCCGTTACTTTACTCGCGGATAATTTACGGATCTTTTAACTTATTAATCTTCAATTGATAGGATGAAATGCTATATATAGGTGATTAGGTAGATTTAAAAAACTATAAAATTCAATTCAAGTATTTATTATTTCTTAAAATCAAATATTTGGCACCTTTATATTGCAAACATTTATCGTAGTAGGTAAGTTACTATACCAATAGTAGATAACTCAAAGGTCAACTATCTTTATAATGAGATCAATATTATAGAAAGTTATAACATCACTTTTATATATATAAGAAAATGAGAAAACCAAAATTTAAATCTTTTTTATAATTATAATGAGATCAATATAATAAAAAAAATATAAGTTATAAGATCACTTTTATAACTATGAGATGATGAGAAAACCAAAAATATATTCTAATGAAGTAAATTAACACTGCGTACCTAGTAGGTACTACCTACCATATAAAGTGTAAACATTAAATTACATGAGCAAACACAGTGAAAATTAGAGGAACTTGAAACATATAGTATATATACATAAAGAACCGTATCCGTATCCGTATCCGCGGATCTTGACACCAAATATCCGTATTCGGATCCGTATCTGCGGATATACATTTTTAACGATCCGGTACATCACTGGTACAAACATTTGTGAAAATTGAAAAGCTATATATACTCTATGATATTCTTAAATCTACGGCTGGAGAATCATGTACCGAGAAGAGCCGGCAAGAAACTCAGCAAGGGTTGTGGAAATGAAAAATGACTTCCATGACCTGTGAAGTCACTTTCCATCGTAATATTATTGAATATCAAAAAACAAAAATGACATCATAATTCATTGGTCAATTGATTCACATGCCATTTCAAACAAATTCCTCATCAGTGCCTCACCGGTGCACTACACCCCTGGCATGCATGTGCCTTACAGCTGACACTAGTTGCGCGGCCAAAGCTCTCGCCCTCGCTTCAGGCAGACCCCTTGTGCCCCGGACTCCTCTCGCTGCCAACACGTGAGCGCACAGGTCACCGCCACCTGCAGCTTCCATCACCACGTACAGCCGTGGACCATGCTGGAAATAGGAAAGATATCTTATTTGCAGGGGTTTAATCCAGATGTGCGACAGCCTAACTCGCCAGCCATAAGTATAAGCATAGTCAAAAGATATTGTATCATCATAGTGATGTTATGGCTATATTTCGTTTATTTTACAACTTTCACATGTCCCTTGGTGGAGTACAACTAAGTTGGTAACACTGTTGTCAAACCCATCATCATCATTCGTTATCATTCATTCTTAAAAATTGAATTACATGTCGAAATGAAAGTTCATTATATTTGATTAATTTGGCATTCACAATACTATAATAATAAGAACAGATTCTCATCTTTATCGAAAGTTTCAATATTTGTAACAATATTTCTTTCGGCTGTTTGGGTGGATACATTGGTGAGAATACGCTCTGTAGTAGCGAAGAGTAACAAGTGCTTGAAAGATTCGTCAGCTCTGTTAGGTCCTGGGTAGCTCAGTGGTTAGAGCAGTCGCCCGGATTGCAAAAGGTCGTGGGTTCGATTCCCATCTCAGGGCGCCAGGGACAAAGTGGATTTTTTAAGCATTTTGTATTAAAAAATGAAAGTTGTATTAAAATAGCTAGAGTCAAGGCTACAGAGTTAGCCGGTCGCAGCCTATACTGAAATATTAGCAACATTGACAACTAGTATTTAGCTTAAGGTGCGTTTTCATCAGTTCTTAATTTGTAACAAATTTACCCTAGGACCATGGCCTGTTTTATAACAAACGGCGGATCACAGTAACATGCCGCTAGATTTTATTTTCTAATCAAAAGTTTTAGCGTCCTTCCTTTTATGTGATGGCAAAACTTCGAAGGTTCTAAAAGTAAGCTATTGTTTTTTAATTTAGCTAACAAGTGAAGAGGAACAACCAAGAGAAAACTGGATTAAATGAATTTAACTGAAAAATTATTGACGTAAGTATTATTTATCTCTATAATATGGCGAGGATCTCAACCTCATCATAAAAATCTACCTAAATGTCCTTACTAACCTACCTCGGTTAGTAAAGACATTTAGGTATTTCTAGATATTATAAGCATGTAATAATCATTTTGGTTGGCGCGGTGCACGAATTCTTATTGCATTGTTTTAATCGTAACATAACGTCTGGAGATCATCTAGCCAGATGGTTCTTGTTAATCTCGTCTAACTGTTCAACTGATCATTACAAAAACCTAAGTTCATCTTGAATGCAATAAAGATATACCATCATAGTTTCGTAGAGCGCCGCGATGCAGGGATGGCGGAGCTTGGCCATGACTCTGGGCTCGCGGTGAAGGTTGCGTCGCGCGTACTCCTCCTTGATGCAAGTCAGGTCTATGATCTTTATGGCCACCTGGAAAATAAGGCTAATGAAACTGCGATTCCATTCTAATTCCTGCTGAATATATAGAAGTGTTTACGATAAGACTAGATTAGATTCAGGAATTGGAGCTAGAGATATTATTTTTTTGTTTTCTTCTCCATCTTATGACCAGCTTTTGGGAAAGATAACCTACACATCGTAGATCGGACGCTCTAACCACTGCGTTACTGAGCTTCTTGATTCTTGATTACCTTCATCTTTCTACATAATCTAATTTTTATTTAAGCTCGTGTGTTATAGTATATAATAATAATCTTTATTTCCAGTAACAACAGTTTCCTAAATATACAAGTAGTATAAACTTAATAATATTGACATTATTGAAATCATACGATAATTAAAATAAGTTTTACTCGTATAAGGCATCTGCTGCCAAACTAAGGTGGTTATCACCCTGTCATCTGGCAAGACAGCGCAACTACCCCAATATGATGCGCTAACACTGAGATTAGTTGACCTCTGTAGTCGAGTGGTTCGCACGCCTATTTCAAGGTGTGTCAATCTCTGAGTAGGTTCGATTCACGGTAGGGCCAATGTAGAAAATGGACTTTTCGATTAGTTTTGGGTTTGGATGTTGTGGTACCTTCGTTATCTCAGATTCTCTATAATATGGAGGGTGTAGCTACTGAGCAATGTACCTATGTGATGTTGACTATTAATTATTTATAATTTGATAGTGAAAGCAGTGCCTACTTCCCTTTACATCCGTCCATGTTTATTTGGTTATTAGCTAGACTAACAAATTAGGTAGGTAGGTACTCGTTACATTGTCAACCATTTTGACTCCAAGACACTTATTATTTATTTTTTAATTTATATATGCTATTCTTGGAATAAAGGATATTACAAATATTCATATGATAAGCCTATGCTCTTTCCGGTTGACCTAGCGCCTTAGGCTGAGTATTCACCGTTGCACCATTCGTTTCGATGATAAAATATAATAATATATTTAGGACCCATCAAATGGCGGCAATTTATATGTTGCATTTACTGTTTGGTGGAACACGAAAGTAATCGAGGAATTGATAGAAAATTTCATATACAGTGACGTATAAAATATTGGCGTGACGAAACACGTTGGATTTTAGTAAGTAGTTATGAATAGTAAGTTTATTCGGAGTACGTATATAAGAATAATAATCATGTAGGTACGGGATCGCTACCTAGTGCATTAGGTACTTTTATTCCCGTAATTACTAAATATTCACTAAGGGGTGCTATAAACTATAAATATATATTAAATATACTACTCCTGTTAGTAACAACTCACGCCCCCTGTATGTTAAAAATATTTTTGATAAAGTTTTCAAAAATGTAATAGATACAGAATAACTACCTCTAGGACTAGAGTTTCTAGCGGGGAGAAGTTGAAATAATGAGACGTCGATACTCCAGATGTCCATGCATTGTTAGTAATTATTGTTGCTTTTCCAAAGCTAGAGGGCGTTGTTGAGGCACGCGACAAATCGCTTCACAAATCGAAACGATGATTAGTATGATTTTAAATGTAAGATTTGTTGTAACTTTCATTGGTAATATTTTAAATCAGACCAGATTTTAATACATCCTTAAATTTGGTTTTGGCACGCTCGTGAATGCCCACCTTTACGTGACGCTATTTACCAGAAATAACTTCGTTTCTTACCTTCTTGCCTATGATTCTATGAGTGGCTTCCTCCACCCTGGCAAAGTGGCCTTTCCCAAGAACTTTGCCGGTCATCAAGTAGTTGCCCACACTATACACTTGGCTCTTATTTCTTATGTTGGCCTTCATGACTACTTACTAATTTCGACACATTTCAGGCATTTATTTATATAGTTTCCGGTATAATCGGGACACGACACACACGCACCAATTATGTTGTATTTATTTGTAAACGTCATAACAACAAGACGTTGGTGTCTTGTTTGCTCTTCGAAATTGGAACGCTATTAGTGTCAAGCTTGACATTTAATGAGCCTATTTTTAAAGATACGATGGTCGCCAATGCATTGATACTTTTTTGTGTTAACGCCCATTCGATTTGTCTTGTTATTTTTATTCAATGAAATTTTAAGTCTGTGCTTAATTGGAAATGTTGCCAACTTGAACAAATATTTGTATTGGGTAATTTTCGGAAGCAACATCACAAGCGGGTGATAAAGGCTGGAATTTACGTGGGCGAGTCGTGGGAATACAGGTATTATAGTTTATCTTAAATAAAATTGCTTTGAAAATCTCCAGTC